AGCAGTGACCCAGGAGCTGCCGGGGTGTCCTCCTGGGCAGGGGACCTTCTGCAAAGCCAATCCGCGATATAACCCAGGGAGCCGAAGGAACATCTGTACTGCAGGCAGGGAGGGATACAGATCAATGTTTCCTGGCCAGCACGAGTTGTCTCATTCACAGGTTTGGAGATGACAGGCTTTGCTGGCCCGTGGATTAGTTCGATCTGCTCCTACTTCAGTTTCCTTGCTGTGAGGCAGGGATGGTGTTTCCCTGCACGAGCTGCAGTGACCCATCAATTAATACACACACAGTGATTTGCAGCTGCAAGATGCCAGCTAAAATGACAGTGCAGTTTTCCTGCAAAATGCAGCCTGTGCCAAACTCTGCATTTACATTAAATCTGTTATTTTAAAGCCGTCGTTATCAGTTCATGTCAGTGTGTATTGTTTGCCCTCTCCTTGGACAAGTCCCTGATGCTGGAAAAGTCAGCTTTGCCAATCATTTTTTGTAGCAGCAGCCTGAACGTTATGTTGTTGGCGTGGAGCCATGGTGAGTCAGGCTTGGCTTTGGGCAGCTGCCTGGGGAGAGAGACTGGGAGAGAAGATCAGTCTGAAGTCCAAGCTAGAGAAGACTGGCACAGGCAGCCCCAGGGGTGCCAAGAGTGGTCCCGAGCTTTTGCATGCCAGCCCTGCCTGGAATGCTGTAACAATACGGATGCAGCCTACCAATAAGCAGTGTTTGCCAAAGAAGCTGGCTGGACCTGGAAGGCCAGAGTGGGAGAGAGTGAAGCTGCACGTACCACAGCTTCCTTTGGGTCTGTGGATGGTGAGAGGCTGTTACTCCATGGAGAGGGCTGCTTCTGGGGGCAGTGGGGTGTCCAGGCTTTTATACACCTGCTCCTGTGTCTCCAAAGGACTCCTTTCCTTTGTGCATTAAGATGGAGGCAAACCTATTGGGGAAATAAATTGGAAAAAATATTGTCAGCTGTAGTTCTGATGACTTTTTGGTTCCTGCACTTGAATTTTCAGCATCTTCCACATGTCTGTCTTTGACCCTTCATGCACCAGACAGCTGATTGCCCACCACTGGAAAGCACTGGTGACAGTCTGCTGGGCAGGCAACTCGCTGATCTATTGCCTATGGAAAGCTGCCTGAGGATAATGATTAGGCAAATGTTAATGATTTCTCAGTAGCTCTAGTTCATTTATTTTTATCCACGCACTGAGCTTATAACTAGAGAGAATATTGATGGGTGCAGCTATTGACACTCTTACTTCCATCTCCCCCGGCCATGTGTCATGTCTTGAACCTAACCAAGGAGAGAGAGACTAGCTTGTGTCGTGTCCTGTACAAAAGGTCACAGCAGCAGCTCTGGGTGCTGCTCAAATATCCTAATAAATCATGAGGATGAACACCTTTCTCTGGTGTTACTTGCTGGGATGGTTTAACCCCTTTCCTCTGTACTAACCTTCTCTATGGAATTCTGTTGGTGGGTCACGGGGAACTCAGAAGTTAAAGGGCAGCTGATTTCTCCAGGGCTGGGATCAACCGGCTGCATTGTGCTGGTCTCAGCAGAGGGGGAACAGAGGATTGTCAGAGCCACAGGAAGGCAGTCCTTGCCCTTTAGTGCTTTAAGCTGCTTGGACAAGTCCCAAGCACTGGCCGTTTCCAGCTGCACGTGATAATAGATTGTCAATGGGAATTTGTTTTCGAGTTCTCTGGCCATCAGTAGTAAACAGTGGAAGAACATTGGCTCCAGGGACCTCCTGTCTGATGGCACAGGGGAACTGGTAGGGAGAGCAGAACATGTTTCCTAACTGGTTCAGATCTTCCTGTTGATCTTGCCTTTCTGGAAAGATTCTCTCAAGCAAGCTTCAGGCAAAGTCTGCAAGAGGGACTTGTTCTGGAGGTGAAGAGGATTAGTCTCCAAATCAGATACAGCACAGTGCACAGGACAGCTTCCTCCCACCTGCATTCCCTTAGCCAGGACCTCATGGCCAGTCAGTACTCTGTGCTCAGTGGCCCATTTCATCCCTGACTTCACTACAAAGGAGAGGGCTGTGGATTATGGATTTCTTCCTTTTTCAAAATCCAAGACTCCCTGTCTTACTCATTTTCATTGTTTGTACCACATGTATCTCAAAGGTCTCTGAGCTATTGTGGCACCTTTGAGGACTCATAGTTTTGTGTTATTATGACCCAGGCTCAGGGCTTGGTGACCCAGAAGACCAAGTCACACCATTTAAACTATATCTGATCAGGATGTTAAGTACAATTTTTGTGACTGCTGAGTTTTTGGGTTTGTTTTTTTCCTCAGCATTTGCTTTTGCTTGGAAACCTCTTGCCTCTTGAGCCAAAACCAGCAGAGAACCCACCTGAGATCCCCACTGGGAAGCTATTGAAAGTTGTAGGCCAGAACATAGTGGGTCAGAAGGATTTTTGTGACTGGAACATAATCCTGCCAGTTGCCTGCAGATTTAGTTCTCAAAGATGCTTATAGGAAGGAGAAACTATCAGTCAAATTCAAGTAAAGCCAAAAGACAAGTCAAGTTCATGACCTGTGCCTGCTTCTGCCTGTGAGGTTTTGTCCACTTACCCTGGAATGAGATTTGTCCTGGGGAGATGAAGCCTGGGGTGGGTGCCCTGCAGGATCCAGCACGGCTGTTCCTCCATTGCTGAGCGAGGAGCAGTTCTGCTGCTCTCCACTTGCTTTTTGAGGGGCTCCTTCCTGTGCTGGGTTAATTCCTTGGCCAACTCTTTGTCCCTGGCACTGAAGCACACCCTCAGAAAAAAAGAATTAAACACAGAAAGAAGGAAGAAAAGACCTTTGATTTCCAACTTGTGCTGCCTTCATGTTTGCATGGAAATCCATTCTGCAGGACAGGGAGGGATGAGAAGGCTGGGAGCCTGGGCTGCTGGGCAGGCTCAGTTCCAGCTGTGCTCCTGTCACCCACAGAGACATGTGGTGCCTGAATTTGAAAGGTTACCTTGTCCCCAGTCTTTACTGATCCTTTGTACAGGTGTCATCACCTGGGCAGCAGCTCAACAGCATCTGAAGGGGAAGGAGGGAAGGTGCCTGATCCAACCCGGGTGCTTTTGGGGATAGTAATTAAGATGAGGAAAGGGAGTTAAAGTTTTCTGTCTTGTACTGATGCTACAGGAATGAAGGAAAGAGAGCACCCGAGGCTTTAGAGAAGCAGAGACACAGACAAGCATCTTGATCTTTGCAACTGCAGGGTAAAGATCAGAAATGGAATAGAGTTAAGGATGTTTTGCAACAACTTCCCCAGCAATGGCTGCTCAGTTGTGGCACAGAGAATGACAGCTGACTCCAAGCACTGGTGTTCTCACTGCCAGCAGGGACATACCTATTGATACGACATAGGTTTTACCTCAAAAATAAACATTTCCACACAATTTTTGCATGCCCATGGAAATATATAGAAGGATTCACCTTAGAGTTGCTTCTAATGTGATCTGACCCTTTGAAAGTGAAATGGTATTGCTGGTCTTCAGTCACTTCTGCTGAAGACCTCCAAGGCTCCAGCAAGGCCTCCTTCAGTGCCGGCGAGCGAGTCTTAGTACTAGAGCCATGAGATTTTTCAAATAAGAAAATAAACAGGAATAGCTTCCCCTAATTGTCTGCCTTGCCCATTATTCTTTATCCAGTCCTAAAAAGAAGGACAAGAATGCCTTACCTTTTCCAGGCCAGTCACTCATGCTTTTTTGTGACAGATTTGGAATGGTTTGGGTGAGCATGTCCCAGGAGCTGGGTGTACAGATGTCCAGCACGGGCATAAACCTTGCTTCACGCTGCGCTCAAAGGGAAGCCAAACCAGTCTGTGTGTTTCCCTCTGGCTTCTGATCCACTTCACGGTCTAGTGCAAGGACCTGTGTGAAGCTTCTGGCTTGGCACTACAGAGAAACATTCAGCTTGAACATATAAATTTCACTTGGAACAATGGCAAACAGAATTACAGGCACGAGATATGGAGCCACCAGATCCCGCTGGGGCTATACAAAAGATTGTCCCGACAGTAAATTTTCTGGTGGTTTATCCAACCCACCCTGAAGGAAACCAAGCAATGTGGTTTCTGCCACTTCCCTTTCAGAGAGCCTTTGTCAGCCAGATAACTCCTGCAATGAGGAAACATTTTCTTGCTGTGCAGCCTCATTTCCAAACATGTTTCATGTTAACTCATTCCCACAGCGTCTCCTGAGGGGGGGGATACCAAGGACTTAAGGACATACTGACAGAGGGGCCAAAATGCTGCAGGTTCTTTTGAGGTCAGCAAGTGGTGGGCTGTAAATACAACTATTGACATCCTGCTGGTACAACAGCTTTGCAGGACACTTGCCAATGTGCCTTTCTCAATGTGTCTCTTTTCCCCTCCTCTGCTTATAGTTGTCCTGATGTCCCTGTAAATTCATCCTGGAACTTCATTTGAGGAAAGAATCTACTGAATCCAAAGCTTCCTTCTGCTCTTCCCCTCCCCATAACTTCCCTCAAGATGGCATCTGATAGCCCCGAGTCACTAATGACCTTGTGCACAGATTACTGCCTTCGCAACTTGGAAGGGACTCTCTGCTACCTACTGGACAATGAAACTCTCCGGCTCCATCCTGACATCTTCTTGCCAAGCGAGATTTGTGACAAACTTGTCAATGAGTACGTTTCAGGCCTGTGGAGAAGCTATTGTCTGGTTTGGGAAGGAGCTGGGAGCTCAGGGAAGTGGGAATAGAGTTCTCTGAAAAGAATGATGGGAAAGGGGAAAAAATGGGGAAGAATTAATAGGGCCTTTTTTTTTTTCCCCAATTGATCCTCACATTAAAAATAAGGATTTGCATTAACTTCAGAAGGAAGTGTTCCCAGGGCTCATTGTACTCATATGTATCAGTCTAGTTTTTGTGGAAATCACCATTTCCACATAGGTAAACCCAGGGTGAAACAAACAGTCACTGCTTTTTCTAAGAACATCAGTAAGCAGCAAAGGAGCCTTCCCATTTCCCACCACTGAAGCATTACGGCTCTCTCTCAAACCAGAGAAATGAGAGTGCAAAGTGCTAATAGATGTTAAACGTTAAGGCTGCTGCTCCCATAGCTTTACAAAGCAACCTGTTTTCCAGGCATTTATAATTTGTCTATCACAGATTCTCTTGGCTGAACTCCTGCCCACAAAGTCTGGCAGGGAGCTTTGGCCAGCTAATTTTCTGAAAATGAAAAATCAAATTACTAGCTTTAAACAGCTAGGCTAAAAAAATCCCAAAGTCTGTGCTTGCCAGAACCCAGTTTGCTCAAATGCAGAAGTGACCTCACACAAATCCTTGCCTGAGATTTTGCTAAGGATTGTTAGTTCTGTGCAGGAAGAGGTAACAGGCCACTCCCGTTACCCCAAAGGCTGTTCTGGATGATCAAGGGGGAGTCTGTGTGTGTTTACACAGTGGCCACGTTTTCTCATAAGCAGTGAAGGTGCTAGAGCTGTAGCTGAGCCTTTGTGTTGCCTTGTGCTAACACCATTGCCCCAATACAGGTACGTGGAGTTGGTGAAGACAGACAGCATCTTTGAACCCCATGAAAGCTTCTTCACGCTGTTCTCAGATCCCCGGAGCACCAGGCTGGCTCGGATCCACTTGCGGGAACAGATTGTGCAGGACCAGGACCTGGAAGCCATCAGGAAGCAGGTGGTATTGCACTGACAGCCTCCAGCTGCCACCACAGAGCAGCACTGCTGCATGGGCACCAGCTAGAATGCCAAGCACCCAGATTCCCAGGACTCCATCCTTCACTGGCCAGATTTTATTTGGGATAAACTCAGCTTCTCCCTTCGCAGTTCCTAGAGCCACTGTAGGGAATGGGAGGGGGACACTGGTCAAGTTGGGTCTCAGGCTGTCCCAGTGGGAGGTGGTGTAGCAAACAGGGTGGGCGCTCTACCTGTGGAACATTTCTAACTTTGATTTCCCATTTCCCAGGATCTTGTTGAGCTCTACTTGACTAACTGTGAGAAGCTGACAGCCAAGAGTCTGCAAACCTTGGTGAGCTTCAGCCACACGCTTATCTCCCTTAGCCTCTTTGGCTGCTGTAATATCTTCTATGAGGAGGAGAACCCCGGAGGCTGTGAAGATGACTGTTTGGTGAACCCCACTCGCCAGGTCTTGGTCAAGGACTTCACTTTTGAAGGCTTTAGCCGCTTGCGCTTCCTGAACCTGGGCCGCTTGATTGAAGGGGTAAATGTGGAGACATTGCTTCGGCCTTTGGCCTCCCTTGCAGCTCTTGATCTCTCTGGGATCCAGCTGAACGATGTGGGATTTCTGACCCAGTGGAAGGACAGTCTGGTTTCCTTAGTGCTTTACAACATGGACCTTTCTGAGGAGCACATCCAAGTGATCGCACAGCTTCGCAAGCTCAGGTCAGCAGCTCTGTTCTTCCTTCTTTATCCTTTTCCCACTGCTAGGGAAAGGTCTTTTAGGAGTGGTCTGCTTGCCTGCTAATGCAGAGCCACCCGCTGCTGGTTTCACTTTATAAACCTTCCCCTGAACAGGCTCACTCATTGACTCACTGTACACATCTGACATGTCTAAAGCCAGCCTGCATTTTGCTTGTAAAAAGACACCACTTAGCAGAAACTCCCTCTTGGAAAACCAAAAAATAACACACACACCTCCAAAAAAACACCACACACCACAACTGCACACACCAAAAAAAGAAAAAAACCCAACAACCTACAAAACCAAACCAACCACCCCTCTGCCAAACGAAAGGAACAGCTGGATACTTGAGAGATGACCAAAAAAATTACTACAGATATGCACATATACTAATACAGTGATGGTCACACTGTGAAACTCAGTCCTCCAAACCACTTGTCAAACAAGAATGTCTGAAGTTTAAGCCTGGCTCTGAGGTAGAACTGCAAAAAACTCGAGCTCATGGTGTCTGCTCGCTGTGCTCTGCGGAAGCACACTGCATGGATGGTGCCACCAAGGGAGCAGGCAGTGTAAACAAACAGGCACTCTTGACCTAACAGTGTCGACAGTGAAATGACTTCCTGAAACAGAGTTGAGACAATTGCTATTCAAACTGCACAGTGGTACCAGGAAAGGGATCCAGGGCTTTCCAAGCCAAAGAGAAGGGCCTTACTATTCCCATGAAGGGTACTTTGCAATGGCTTTAGTATCATCTCTACTGCCTGCAGACACCAGGAGGTACCACCTTAACATGTGACCTGGGAAGTCTCAGGGAGCATCCTGGATAACATTTTCTTAATCTAAGTACTTTTAACTCCCAGTGACTTGCAGTGAAAACTTGCAGGTACAACAGGTAGAAGAGACTTTTGTGAGTGGGATGTTGGCCCCTGTCTCAGGCAGATTAGAAAAGTCTCTCCCAAGGATCTTAGCTACTGCTTGGCAGGCACGAGCAGCCCCTGTCCTGTAAGGGACCCCACTCACACACAGTGGCTTGTCAGTTTGTCCCACCACTCCCTTAGCATCAGGGTTTCCCCAAAGGTTAGGCATTTAAATACATGAAGATAAATGAAATCAGGGCAGTGTAATAGCGTGGGGTGAAAAAAATACAAGATTGGGGAAGCAGACAAAACTTGTATAACTTAAGTTGTGGGATGAGGCAACATATGTTTCTGGGGATGCAAAGATCTTCTAGTGCATCTTAATCACCAGGTAGAAATGCTCATGTGGCTGCTGTGATGAAGCTTGGGAAAAGCAGTTCCTGAGCCTGGAGCAATTTCCTTTGTGATGTGTGGCCAAATGATTCATTGTGTTCCATTCAAAGTAAACCTCTACTAGATATCAGTGTGCTTTGGGTAGACACAGGGCCAGATCCTGCTGCCAGATCCTACACAACCACATTCCTGTATCTAGTGGGGGAAACTGTAATAATAAATAAATAAATAATAATAATAATCACACTTAGCTTGTCATCTTCCTCTGGTAGACAGGCAGAAGGCCCAGGTAATGCTTCCCAGGCTCTGAGCTCCTCTCTGTCATTTGCAGGCACTTGGATATCTCCCGAGACCATCTGTCCAGTTATTACAAATTTAAGCTGACCCGGCGGGTTCTAAACTTGTTTGTGGAAAACTTGGTAAATCTTACTTCGCTGGATATCTCAGGGCACACCATGCTGGAGAACTGCACTATCCCAAGCATGGAGGAGAAGATGGGCCAGACCAGGTAAGGAAACAGCAATTATTGAGGTCTGCTTGGATGAATGGATCAGTCAAAGATGAATTAAAAACAGTTCCTTCTTCTAAGTTTTCAAATTCTGTAGGTCTAATTAATACTAAAAAGCAGGATATGGATGTTGCTAGTTTCTCCTGACGGTGAAGACTGGGGTAGCAATCAGCTGTGATTCCTGTGTGTGACACATGTAAGGACTTTTAGGAATAATAAAGGATTCATCCTATCTGCCTGCCATACTTATCTGAAGAAGTATTTCAGTTGTTCTTTTCCACACTCATTCTTCCAGGGATCTCTTGCAGTGGTGTGTATTTTTTCTGAAAGGAAAAGCCATTTATACATTTTGTGCATGAAACATTCATACCCTCACTGAAATCCAGGCTTTTCCCAAAACAGAACATTTCTACAGTGAGTCAATACATCCATGTTCATAGGAGGGCTGCGTGTTTTAGGAACTTAGAATGTAAAGTCAGATTTTCATATTTGACCTGGATACTGGGCAGATCAACCTTTGAAAGTCCTGATGCACCTCAGCAGAGGCATGGCTGATCTGGAAAACCAGACCTCTAGGTAAGAACGCTCTCCTCCTATTCCTCAAGCATTCACTGGACAAAAGAAAAACAGTGGGACAGTACTGGCTCCTTTCCAGAGCTTGTGAAAAAATACTGGCTCTTGGTCAGTAAGGAACATGGCAGCAAAACTAGTGTTCTGGTGTGATCAGAGAAGCAGACTGGCGTGTCTATCGGATGACACACAGTCCAGTTTGCAGATAGTTTATATCTGTGAAATCCACAGCCCTCTCCTAAGAGGAAATATTCACCCCAGCTAGTGAATTTTCAGAACAAATCCTGCCTGGGAAAGCTGCATTCTGTGTGAATTCTTACTGCTGTTTCTGTTGAACACATCTAGCCCTTCCCTCAGGATCACCTCGCATGAATGTCTGATGTTACGCTTAGGAGAAGCTGAGTGGTGTGCAACTGAAGTGTAGCTGTTACTCTAGTCATGGAGCAGTACAGGCAGAGTGAATGGAGAACCAGTGGCTGTCTCTGTGGCAGGAGACACCTGAAGAAACACGGTACCAACCCGAGTGATCTCTTGTGGTATTTTTTCCTCAGCATTGAGCCAGCAAAGAGCAGCATTGCTCCCTTCCGGGGTCTGAAACGACCGCTCCAGTTCTTGGGCCTTTTTGAAACATCTCTCTGCCGCCTGACGCATATTCCAGCCTATAAGGTAATGAAGCCACAAGAATATTGGTAGAAGTTGAAAGAACATGAAAATTACTGGCTGCCAGTAGAGTGGAGTTCTTAAGGTCTCAGCTCTGACCTTTCAATAGCTACTTGATAACGCAGGAAAACTGCCAGAAGGCAAGACCTGTACCCCACATGGTTTTCACAAGGATTAAAAATATGACTCTTGAGAAGGGCATGGAAAAATCATCCTGCCTAAAGGACCAGGATATCTGTGACTACAAGAAAAGGATTTAAGACAATAGGAGTCTTACTTGTGAATAGGATCATCCTGCTCCAAAGGGGCCATTTCTTGTCCCTCTGGGCTGAGAGGTGACTCAAACTCTTTGCTCTCATCTTGGGCCTAATCCCACTAGCAGGGCAGAGGGAAGTTGTACCCTTCAACCTTCCAGATGTACCCTCAGAGTTCCCTTCTCATGTTGGTTTCCCTCCTTCATCATTTCTTCCCCGACTTTTTATTCCTCTGTGCCAGGTGAGTGGAGACAAGAATGAAGAGCAAGTCCTGAATGCTATTGAGGCTTACACTGAACACCGGCCAGAAATCACTTCCCGGGCCATCAACCTCCTTTTTGACATTGCCCGTATCGAACGCTGCAGCCAGCTGCTGCGAGCCCTTCAGGTAAGCCCCACACTAGCATTCCCCTCACCCTTACAAGGGAAATTCTGCAGTCCCAGTCTTTTCTTCAGCCTGGTACACCATGTCAGGCCATTCTGGAGAAGGTTCCAGTAGTGCAGTGGAACTCGGTACCTTCCTTTCATACATACATTCCTGCAACGCCTGGGCCATGCATTCCTTGCATGGCTTTGCCCCACACAGCTGTAACAGTCACACCAAGACTCAACAGCAACTCAATGGCACTGAAGCTTCATGTTGCTTCTCTGCAGCTGGTGATCACAGCCCTCAAGTGCCACAAGGATGACAAAAACATCCAGGTGACAGGCAGCGCGGCACTGTTCTACTTGACCAACTCCGAGTACCGCATGGAGCAGAGCGTAAAGCTGCGGCGCCAGGTCATCCAGGTGGTGCTGAACGGCATGGAGTCCTACCAGGAAGTCACAGTAAGAGCAGCCCAGGGTTCTTCAGCTCCCATAGTCCTCCCTCCCTGTATTAAGTCTTCAGCCTGGTGTTAGCATCTGGGTCTTCTGTGCCCCCAGGATGTGAGCCAAGCCAGGCATCGGAGAAGCTGTTGCCCAGATCTGCTCCTTGCCTTCACTCAGTGGTGGGGATTACGTGCAGGGTGCTCCTTATCCACGTGACGTTCCCCAGAACAAGGAGAAGAAAGTGATGATAGCTAGGCTCCTTTTTATCTGATGATAGTGGTCAAAGTATATGACACACAGCGTAGATGTCCTGCACTGACTGTGGGGTGAAAAGGGTGCGGGCACTGGGGGTGTCGAGTCAACAGAAAGAAACACTATCCCAGTACACTGTACTTGAAGCCAGGTGACACTAGGATGCCACTGGGCTGCAGAATGGTGGCTGTTGCATAGAGAGCTTACAGGCAGTGAGGAGCTGGCTTGGAAAGCGATGGGCACTAGGTGATTGTGTGGCCCTGTGAGACAAGAGTGACAGGGAGAGAGAAGCGGGTACTGATAGAGCACAGCTAAAGCACAGTGCTAGATAGGAGCAGAACAGGAATTGTAGTGGCTGTAGTCAAGCTAGAAGATGTTTTCAGTACCAAGCAGCAGGAAATAAGATGATGGGGTCCATGTTTTTGTAGCCATTCAGCCCAGCATTTGCTTCCTTCTGACCCAGGTACAACGAAACTGCTGCCTGACACTGTGTAACTTCAGCATTCCTGAGGAGCTGGAGTTCCAGTACCGCCGTGTCAACGAGCTGCTGCTGAACATCCTCAACCAGAGCCGGCAGGATGAGTCTATCCAGCGCATCGCTGTGCACCTCTGTAATGCTCTGGTCTGCCAGGTGGACAACGATCATAAAGAAGCTGTGGGCAAGATGGGGTTTGTCATGGTTGGTATGGTCCCAAGATGTCTACTTATCCTTAACCCAGGCTAGCACAATTTCCTTGCAGCTGTCCACCAAATGCATCCAGCCAGTCATCCAACCTTACAGTATCACAGGAGGGAACTAGTGTCCTAGCAATGCTAACCTCTCCTGGAACCTGTCCCTCCATCTGACATCTTTTACTGGCTTGCCAGCACTGCAAGTCGAGATCTCAGAGACAGGCTGGCTGTGAGAGCAGGGAAGCAGTGTAACTTTACACCTTGCCTCTTCACCACGTCATATTATTTCCAGCACTGGTACCACCTTGTAACTAGCTCCTCCTGTATCTCCCCAAGTTTGCATCAGCTTTCCAGCTCATGTCAACCCATATCTCTCACCTTTTCAAAGGGCTGTGGAGGCTGCTGCTTTGGTGCACTTATACCACATTCCAGCCCTTGTCCTACAGATCAAAACTGACTTGACTGGACACTCAGCAGCTCAGGGACTATGATGTAGTTCAGCTCTGCGAATACTTGCAACATTGAACCTAACCCAGTCCCACTGGTTTAGAGAAAGACCCAAGTGGATTCTTGAAAAAGGATCAAAACTGCATATGCCTGCAAACTGGCAGCCCTGCAGTACTACAGCAGTTGGTTTTAGCTCTGTGATTCTTGAACTTTCTCACTCTTTCCCTTCCTCTGCCCACAGACAATGCTAAAGTTGATTCAGAAGAAGCTGGCTGATAAAACGGTGAGTGTTCCCCCCAAAATGTATAGATAGAGCACTTTCTCTTCAGTCTGACTTAGGCATGGAGATCAGTCCAGAGTGCCAGCTCAGCTTCTCTAACAAACTCAAGCTGTCTCAGCTGGTGCTGCAGAATTTCCTTTCCCAGGGTGGGAGCAGGGGAATGTGATGGGGAGGCAAAAATAGCAAACAAAAAACCCACATGTTGCCAAGTTGAAAGTGAATAACGAGGTTTTCTTACCTCTGGAGCCATCCAGGGTGATACCAGGGAGGAAACACAAGTGGCTGGCTTGCACTGGACTCCCACAATAGCAAAGCTCTGTTTCTGTCCCTTTCTCTCTGGCTCTGTAGTGTGATCAGGTGATGGAGTTCTCCTGGAGTGCCCTCTGGAACATCACTGATGAGACCCCTGATAACTGTGAGATGTTCCTTAACTACAGCGGCATGAAACTGTTCTTGGAGTGCTTGAAAGTAAGTAAGTCTGGTTTCCTCTAGAAGAATACTGACATTAGCAGTGGAGATGCAGGTGCCTGGGCAGGATCCCTGGCTGTGCTAACCTGTAAGCACTACTTCCTATGTTGCACAAACAGAAAAGAAAAAGCTTGCATAGTTTCTTCTTTCGCACATCCGTCCACTCAACCAGTAATACAGAGAAGCTTACACTCAATACATCTTCCTCTCTCCTCATATTGTGTGCAGCCTTCCTTAAGCAGAGCAGCAGTGAACAGCAGACTCTAGCCTCAGTTCTCTCATTTCACATGAATCTTGAATACCAGAGATCCCATTTGGCATCTACTAAAGAACCATCACTGACTACTCAAAAATACTGAGCCTTTCTAGATGTGCTGTACAATCTTTCTCCAGGAATGCTTGTTCTTAGCATTACCGTGGCCCTACTTTTGTATAATCCTGTTCTTTGCTTGCTCAGGAGTTCCCAGAGAAACAGGAGCTGCATCGCAACATGCTGGGCCTCCTGGGCAATGTAGCAGAGGTGAGGGAGCTCCGCCCGCAGCTCATGACCTCCCAGTTCATCAGTGTGTTCAGGTGAGTGCCTGGCTAACAAACAGCTGGGCTGGGGCAGGGTGAACGCTCTGGAGCTCTGCTCCTGAATTACCTGGGGACTTTTAAACCTTTTATGCACCAGCAGCTCTAAATTATCTCTTCTTTCTTGGCAGCAACCTGCTGGAGAGCAAAGCAGATGGGATCGAGGTGTCCTATAATGCCTGTGGTGTACTCTCCCATATCATGTTTGATGGTCCGGAGGCTTGGGGTATATGTGAGCCCCACCGAGAGGAAGTTGTAAAGAGAATGTGGGCAGCCATCCAGAGCTGGGATATCAACTCCAGGAGAAATATTAATTACAGGTGGGGAATAGAAATGTTTGCCACACTTACCTAGGAGCCAGGATTGTCCCAGGAAGCGTGTCATGGGAAGCAAACACCAACAGAGACAAGGGAAGAGGTACACCCCAGTGTGGAGGCTCTGCTTAGAGTGAAGGTGAAACATCCTCAGGGACATATTTACTGAGGGTTTTACCTCTTCCTTTGAAACATGTTGCACAGGCTGCTGAAATTAGACACCTTGCCTGGCAATTCCTATGGGAGAAGTGTGGGAGCCCAGCAGAATTTCTCCTGCATGTTTCTAGTGAAATTGCATCGTTAGGAAACCCATGATCTGACTGTCTGGGACAGTCCTCTGAGACTGCTGTCCTTTGCACCTCCTTAAGTCTGTTTGCTTCTGCAAGTCAGATGGACTGTTGTAGCTTTCACTCTCCTCTGGTGGATATTTAGACACGGTTCCCAGAAATCCCTTCGAGGGTTAATACAACTGCTGGGATCCCCCAAAGCCCTTCCTGTTAAGAGGGTATCAGGTACTGTGTATTCCCAGAGTGCTTGGCAGGGATCCAGAACAAATGGCATTCCACTGCGAGAGCTGCAGTATAGACACGTTACTGTTGTCAGAAGAAACACAGCAACCGTTGCACGTGAGCAGCCAGCTTTGGCTGGGTATAATTTTGCTTTGGCCCCTCTACAGAAAGATCAGTGCTTCTGGGTTTCAGCTGGTGTGAGGAAATGACTGGCCAAGGATGGAAATCAGTTCTTGGACTCTGTTGCCCTCATTGCAGCTATTTATCTGGGCAGCATGTTGATGCTAAAGCAGTAGGGTCTGTAAGGCTGCCAGTATTGCCGTGTGACACAGACTTGGTCTTTGATGCCAGAATCTTTGACATGTCAGTGGATTTACTGCCATGGTATCTGTGAGCACAAGAGTTTGTATTGCTTTGAGTGGCAAAGGCGGTGAAAGAAGCAGCTCTTGGATTTTTAACAACTTCTGCAATATTTCTCTGCAGGTCATTTGAACCAATCCTTCGACTTCTTCCACAAGGGATCTCTCCAGTCAGCCAGCACTGGGCTACCTGGGCGCTGTATAACCTGGTCTCTGTCTACCGTAAGTTCCCTTTTTGAAATCACATCCACTGCACTGGAGAAGTTCAGAGTGTGGATCTGAGCTTGGCAGCAGAAAAAGTCTTCCCAGTTTAGCTATGTAGATAGAGAGAACCTTCTTTGAATGATGCAGGAATGTCCAGACAGCTCAGCCAAACAAAAACAATGAGACTTGGTGTGTAGGAAATTCCTTCAATGTTTTGATCCTTCTGGTCATGCTCTCAGGTTCTCAGCCCTGGCAGGCTGGGTCCAGAAAAAAAAGGTTTCGTAGCTTCTCAGGCCACAGGCTTCTCCTTCCCCTCCTGGCATCCTTTATACCCCTCCTGCGAAGCTTCTCAAGGACCTGTTTTATTCTCTTCTCTGCAGCTGACAAGTACTGCCCGCTGCTGATCAAAGAAGGTGGGATTCCCCTTCTGAAGGACATGATTAAAATGGCCTCAGCACGGCAAGAGACCAAGGAAATGGCCCGGTAGGAAACCAGTGCACTATCATCAAACATTCAGTTTAGCTTTAGTTTAGTTTGTGTTCTTCTACATCAAGTAAAGCTACCAGAGAAAGACCTGTACTGATGTGTGTGAGGGGCAAGAAGTGAACACAGAGGAGGAGAGCAGGAAAAAGAGGATGAAACCAGAAGACTAGAGAGGTGTTTATAAGAGGGCAGTACACACAGGTCATTCAGGGTTGATGGATGCTGGGCAGATTGGTTATAGAAATGGCTTGTTGGACAGGGGAGCCACATGGCTAATTGCATCTTATGCTGATAGTCTCAAGTCATCACTATTCTCCATACTTAGGTGGGCTCCCTGTCCCTGTCCCCAGACTAGCCTGTCAGTAAAATTGCTGACTGCACAGCTAAAATGAGAGAATTTCTCAAAAGCTGGAGGGAGTCCATCGCCTTAGTGACCTTCCCCAACTTGCTTTGTTACATGACCTCCCTTTGGAGTCAGAGTTCTAAAAGCCAGCTGCAGCTTCGAGTCATTGGCAGACTGAGAGCTCTACTTCCAAACCTGCAGGGTGAATATACAAGAGGTAGAGATGGGCTGGGAGTACGTACCTCGTGGGTGGGCAGCAGGCATTCCCCATAGCTGAAGGGTTGCTGAATGCTGGAGGTGAGCGAAGCCTGCAGAAGACTCTCAGTCAGGCAGATTGCATCTAGTGATGGGACAGCACAAGAGTGGTCAGTGAAAAGACTAGGAAGAGCAGGGACAGATGGCAGCAGAGTGAATGACAGACATCTGTGTGCACGTGTTCCTGACGTGATCAGAGGTATCTGACTATCTGGATATGGGGGTGATGAGTGAATGGTCACGTGTGGATCTGGGTGTACACTAACGTGACCTGAAATTCCGAGGGGATGGGCTGTGAGCTCTAAGCTGCTTTTGTGGAGTGTACTGGTTTTGACACAAGTATTGGTCAGTGCATATCTCAGAAGAGACTGCCTGCTGCACAGAGTGTACATTTACATTGAGATCAAGCTGTTGGACCGTTCTTATGCTACTGTCCCACAACTGTCATGCAATATGTTTTAATCTAAACCCTCTCTCCTTGTCCTTGTTTTATCCATAGGAAAGTTATAGAGCACTGCAGTAACTTTAAGGAGGAGAATATGGACACTTCCAGATAGAGGCAATCATCTCATGCCTCTTGCCAGCACTGTATCCAGCTTCTCTCTAATTCACTGTATATAGGGAGGACTCTTTTCTTACCAACTCGCCTGTTGGAAGGAAACTTTATGTGTGTGTGTGTGTGAGACCCTCAGTAGATGAAGGTGAAGAGGGGAGGGGGGGGAGGGACATTTTGCACAACAAAATGCTTTCCTTAAATTAGTGGACTTTTTTGTTATGAAGTTTCAGGTTGAAGTTCTGTGTGTATGATTTCTGTATAAAAAAGAAAACAAAAAACAAAGACAACTACATTATGTATCTTTTAACCTTTTAATTTTAGACCACACAGAGAGCCTCAAATGATTATGAGCTTGAAGACCTAGTCATGTGATCGCTAGTGTGACATTTTTACTTCCCACTTTTTAGAAAATTCCCTTTTGCTGTATTGCATGAGGTCCTGTAATGTCTGCAAGAACACCAGTCCTGAATCAGTATTGGCTGCTCAATGGAGTTACAGGCAGCCATGAGTTATTTATTTAGTTAGAGAGGCTGGGGGACACAATACCAGAGAGTTAGACCAAAAGAGCTGACCCTTTTAGTGGTATTTGTAAATGGAGGTAACGAGGAAGAAAGTTCAAGTCAATTCACTCCCTTGAGGGTTTTTTAGAGAAGACTCACGTTAGTGGAAGCACTGCCAACTGTACGTGGGTCATTCAGAAGACATTCCCATTAAAGTCAAGAGGTCTGTTTTGTCCCCTTTGGTGGTACAGTAGGATCTGCCAGCCCACCCAGCCTCCTAAGGTCAGGGATGACCAGTAAAACCAGCTACACATCCTTGGCAACACTGGGCTTTTCTCTCTAAGGGAGCCTGTGCAACAAGGAACAAGGTTTTTTCACAAAGGGCTACACATCTTCATTCCAGTCCTTCACCACCTTTGTAGTTATGTTCTGTTTTATGGGGAAGGGCTACAAATGCCAGAGAGCCTATTTCCCCTCTGCATAAGCTCTACTAGGCCCCAGTCCAGAGCAGCTCACACTGCTCGGGGCAGTAACAGACTGGAGCTGTTCTACTCTTTTTGGGTCTGCATCAGTCCAAGCCGTGCTCAGTGGCAAAGTAATCTCCCTTTATGGCAAGCTCACTGCAGCACAAGTGGAGGGTGATCCCGTGAAATAGCACCTCTCGTTCCACCCCAACATCTTCTGGGAAGCAGAAAGCCCTGTTCTTGTCTGACTCCCACTAGCACTTACCAGTGCAGTCCTGCTCACGTCAGCAGCGTTACTCCAATTTATACGATGTAGGTGAGAGGAAAGTCCTGCTAAGGTGGTCTTCACCTGTAAGACTCTAAACCTATAAACACTCGAGAAGCCAAAGGCCAAGGTTTGCCTCACAGCCAGGCACTCAACAACACAGCGTGCAGTCCATGCTTAGAGCCTCTCCTGGCCACAGATCTTTCACAATTCACAAATCTTCCCTTAGAAAGGATTTAGAAAAGATTTTATATATGGTAGCAGTGAGAGGAGACCATGGCTAGGTGAGTTGGGACATTTCAGGCCTCTGAGCACAGCCTCGCTGCTCTCTTCCCTTGTATACATTGCTCTCAGATTTGACTCGCTGCTATGAGGTTCTTCTAATGCTCAGAGTTAATGTTGTCATTGCTGAGCACGTGATAGATAGATCCTAGATACACAAACTGACACTTTAAATGACAGAACACAGCTGCCCTGGAGAGGTTTACTTTTTCTGCCAATATGGTGTTATTCAATGTCTTTTTTTTTTTCTTTTTAACCATACGTCAGTTGTTTTGATATTGTGATATCTGTACTTTTTTCTTTTAAGTATTTTTCAAACTTATATATATTTTTGTGTCACTTTTGAATTGTTTTCATACGGTTTGCAAAACTTGACAAATTATACTTTTTTGCAGTTGTTTGATTGAAATGTATTTTTCTCTTTCTTATTCCCGTTCCCCAAGAATTTGTGTCCCTATAAGCTTTGAGTCAGGGAAGCTTATTTCAAGATCTGTTTTCTGTATAACATTTGCTAATCATCTTCCTTCTAGATGCAGAACTCAGAGAGGCTGCAAATACTGCCAACCAGCCTCAGAACATTAGGGGAGTCAGGCTTCGCTCATTTAATTCCCCATTTAGTGCTGCTGTCCTTTTGAAGTTGTTTCACGTGACAATGCCACCCACTAGGCTTTCTTCCCTTCTAATGCCCATGTAGTGAAAGCTCCTACCACTAAAATCTTGAATCACCTGACAAAGAACACTCAAGATTCTGACTATGTTGGTAAAGTGGGAGTGGAGCAGAAGGGATGTGATGTGGTCAAAAATCCATGTCCCCAGCATGCAGGTGCCATGTTGGGGTGACAGCTGGAGCTCAGGATCTCCCATATCTGCTAGAGCAGACCTCAGCCTTCCACTGTCATCCAAGCAAAAAAAAATATTTAAAAATTGGGCTTTATGCTGAGATTTTAGCACAACTACATCAAGGTTAACAGACAACCGAGGGCTTGGTTCCACCTGCCTCAAAACCCAAGGGATTGGGTTTTTCAAACCAGTGGCCCTGTAAATTTGGCTGTTACTGAGGTCTCACCTGCTGCAGGCTGGGCCATGGTATCCCAAACTAACAAGATCCAAGCTGCATCAAACCTTTGTTTCACACTGCAAAGGTAATCTCCCTGCTCACTGCTCACATATCCTCATTGAGCTGCACCTGAGCCTGAGCCAGGGTAAAAAGATTTCAAATTCCCAGCAACATGGAGATTAATGGAGTCATGCCAGCCTGCCAGAAAAGCTTAGCCTTCTGCAATCTGCCACTGATCCCGGGAAAAAGGGGAATTGTGACTGGTCTGTTACACCTTTAGCTGCACATCAGGTTCTGAGGCACGCCACCAGCGGGTAAAGTCCCAAGACAGCATTTCAAAAGAAATAGCATCTCTGTTATTAGAGTAACATGAACTTTGGCTACAAGCTTCAGTGTCTTCAAGCCAACAAATTTTGTGAACTGAAAAATAAAATTTACTTTCTGTAAGGAGCAAAAGAGAGAAAGGTGTGCTCTGAACAGCTGAGCGCAGTCCAGGGACTCCTGTAATTGGGAGTTTGAAACTAGGCTGTACCTCAGTTTCCCTAACTGAAGCAACAGGAGTTTGTTGCACCCCAATACACATACCATGACCTGAAAGCACTTTTTGGAGGCAAAGGGGAGTTAATGAATCGCTGCTGTAGATCCAGCGCTCAGGACAGAACAGGATAGCTGTCTGCAGCCATCATACCAATGTTCTGCAAAGGAGGGGAGGGCAAAGTGGCTGATTTTTTAATGAAGGTCTGATCTAAAAGGGGAAGTTAGATACTCTGAAATGCTTGACTGTTACAGAGAAGCCTCTCAGGACTTCCAGCTTTGCTGGAGCAAAGGAATGAACCAGGAGACTTCAACTTCACACAGAATTATAGAGCAAATGACCACCCCTGCCCAGAAAACTAGAACAGGCTTCTGTCTGTCAAATGACAATCCAGCTGGAGAGAAGTTCACAACGTGTAAAGATATGGCAGAGGGATTCCTTGTGCTCCGTAGTTGTTGTCCCATACAGACTCTCCTTCATTTTTCACTACTACACTTCCTTTAATATTTAAAAGCTTGGCAAGCAGAGCACAAACACAACTCAGTAATTCTCTGCAGAGACTGTGCCACCAAAGGAACCCTCTACCTCGACTGTATGTGGTTTCCTTCCTGGCTGGACGGTGCCTCGTTGTTCAGTGGTCCAAGTCAATGATGCAGCAGTCCTCAGCATGCAGGGTGTCCTGTGTCTGCCACGTTCTCTGGAACAGATAAAAGAGCAAGTTGGTGGGCAGCTTTCCACAAGTGCTTCCATTTTACAAGATCTGTGGGAGGAATTGTTTAGAATGATTGGCATCCACCTATACCATGCTTAACACCCAGCAGCACCAGACTTTCTCATCTAAACCAAGCCAAGAAAGTTTAACACTGATATTTGTGGCAATTCATAACACTGCAGAGCATTCACCTGCCCCATCTGCATCATGGCTGCTATTACCCTGCACCTACCTGCTGGCTGAAATGACATCTGCTCAGCACTGAATCCTACCCAGCTCGTCACCTTGGTTGGGCTGCTGCACTCTGGTCTCTGCAAAAGATAAATGAGAATAAAAGTCTTGGAGCTGTCAGCCTGTTCCCCTCTCATCACTTGAAGGCAATTAATTACCAGTGGAGCAAGAGCTGTAGGGGCACTACTGCACAGAAAAGATGTTTTCTTGAGACTGTTCAGGGAGGAGTCTGCCACAGCTCAGGTGTTAGAAGGTAGCTCGTGCTGGAAAAAAGAGAATTAAAAGTAGGGAAACAGCTGGTCTCTATGACAACCATGTGTATGAAGCACAGAGGTCATTGGGAATGGATGAAAGCAACATGGGGGCTGGATGAGAAGACAGCACTTAAAAAAAGGGATGAGGGAGATTTACTGCTGTTTTTTGCTGAACTGAAACACTTTTGCTTTAGCAGACTATATTTTGATTTCCTATAATTGTCGCTGATTCTCTCTTTACTTCTTTTCTTGTTTAAAATTTTTAAGCTAACCAAATATGTATTTCCTTGTTTTGCTTAATGAAAATAACCTCAGTTATAACGAGCAAGCGTCTGCTTTTACTCTGTCCATTGACCTGCCTAATGTTGAGAGGCCTGGTTCAAATGTTTGTACATGGTGAAACCAAGCAAAAAAAAAAAAAATGCACAATTGTTGCTTCCTTACAATTCTGAACGAATTAACTTTTCTGTTGTATCCATTGGATACCCGCTGTGTATTAAACCTAGTGCTTCACAATGTCTTCCTCCTTTGGTCTGTGAATGTGGTTTATTTAGGTACGTTACTGATCCATTTGCTGTCATATATTTCATTAAAAATGAAAGGAACTGCCATGTGTTGATGAAGCAGTTCAGTGGCTTCTCCTTTCTTCACTCCAAGGGATACAATACTGTTTGTCAATATAAAAGAGGCGTGGAGGAAGAGCGCATTGTTACGAGATTGTGTGAGAGGAGAACAAAAAAAATCGGAACAATATTTGACTGTCCAGATTGCCTCTGAACTCTGTAACCGGTCTGTGGAGTGCATTCCACAGCCTAAGCCTTGTAAGTGGGCAGAAGCTGAGTACTTAAGAAAAGACTCTGGCTTAAAACAGTCAATCTGCTTTAAGGCCAGCGTGACTTTCTTCTTAAGACCCTGGTCCTGCAACGGTTCAACTGCCAGTTAATTCAGCAGTCATTGTAAACAATCTAAAGGATCAGACTCTCTGTGGCTGAAGCAGGAGGATGAATCATGTGAAACTGAACTGCCTCTAGGAAACTGAAAGTGTACTATGTTGTAAGAGTACACAGAAATACTTTAGGCTTCCAGCAGCATGAAATTCCTACTTGGAATGCCATAAGAATCTAGATTCTCTGCTCATAGAATCATAGAATGGTTTGGGTTGGAAGGGACCTTAAAGCTCATCCAGTTCCAACCCCCCTGCCATCAGCAGGGACACCTT